AGCAACGTATACATGATACGTAGTCATGATTTTGAAAATTATATAAGCCTTACCTATCTGAAGACAGATCAATATACAGAAAAGATCTTGTAAGATGAACAAATGAAATGAACTAATTAATTGTATTTGACCGTGAATGTTAATTAATTGAATTTTGCGAGACTTGCAATCATTTAATTGATATATAAGCATGCATCCAAGTCAGGTTAGATTTCATTTACTGACCAAGAACGCGAAATAACGTCCTTTTTCTTCGAGAACGCCAAATGTAGGCTATTATTATATTCGACAAGTACTATCAGTATAGGTAATGAGGATATTCCCGAAAGATATATAGAAGGAAAAGTCATTATAGTCATTATAGGTTATTTTATATATTGTCGTTATAACCAGTATACATTTGACTGCGAAGCATGGACATCACTTGCATGACTATACCCACTCTCTATAAAGATGTCAAACATCACGTGAACTATAAAAATCGCGATTCATAAAACAAGACGCTCTACTAAAGTTAAACGTTAGTCGGAGATCTGAAAAAAATTGATTGTGTTTATGATTAAGGTTGCTGCTTTTTGCTTGTTTATGTTTTCATATCAAATTGTTTTACAAGTGTGAGACTTAATATGGAATTAACTTTGACGGAAATGGATTAATAGAGAATGAGTAGCTACTCAGACCGTAACAAAGTTTCTTTTAGGGAATTAAACTTTTAGGGAATTCCATTGGCAAGTATGTATATAATGGCAAAAATCAACATGTCAAAGTTCATCGATCAAATTAATTGTTACTATTTTTAACTAATGTCCAAAAGTTTCAGAAAGTGTACCCTAATAATTCAAGACAACAACAAATATTTTTGGTGCATAAGACGTTAAAGAAATTTTACTAAAACTAAGAAACGTTATTCCAGAATCTGGAAGTGGAAGTGGAAGTGGAAGGTGGGAATGACGTTTCAATATTGCGGATAATTTGGCTTTAAACTAATTTAACTGGTAAATGACATCGAAGACCACGAAATTCTATTATATGAGATCATTTCCGCTATTAGAATACTCAAATTCTAAAAGATATTCTGTGGAGCCAAATTTTTTAAAATAAATGTGATTATTCATGATAATTGTTTTTTGCTCAACAAATTTTTTTATAAAATTATTATAATTAAGAAAGAGAAATTATTCAGCTATGAAATAAAATTTGGCGGTCATCGATGACAACGATGTCGTTCTCCAGTTAAATTACTTTAAATTTAAAATATCCGCCATCTTGCAACTTCGTTATTGCCATAGCAATTAAACGAAAGTTTATATGTAACTTTTGTGAAAAAATTCGAACCCTTCAGATGTTGATTTACAACAGTAAGATACCTTTTGGTTTTCGACAAGTAATAACTGTCCAAAAATATGGATCTAAATTTAATAATTGTTTTATCATTTATTTAAAAGACTATGAAAAAGATATCCTCATCCGTTGGTTTCCTTTATTCTTTTATAAGTACGTGAAGAACTTTTGGTGGTTGTTTACATCGATATTTGGTTTTTCTATTTTAAAAGATGATCCTTTAAATCTGCATAAACACGGCCAAACCCGTCGCTATATTATTTTGGTCGTGCTTACACATTCTGTATTCATATTTTAACAGTATGACGTCATAACGTTTAATATGATTTTTTCACAAAGTTAATTCCGTTGAATTATATTAAACTCCATATCTGGTCAGCTATTGAGATAACGTTGATGTGACGATCTCACAGTTGGTTGTCAGCCAACCAGAAACCATGAATATTTTAATTAAGTAATCATGCTTTTTATTCCCTAGACCCAGTTTTAGCAACGATGTTTTCAAACAACGCCACCAGGTACATCGATCCTAACCAAACAGAAACTGACAGTGAGATACTAATCCTTACGAAGCATTTATTGTTATCGGAGAAAATTATATTAATATTCATCACTATCTTCACAATAACTGGAAATACTATAGTTTTGGTTGTGACTTGGAAAGAAAGAAGTCTTCATCAACCAAATAAATATTTTATCGCTTGTCTTGCTGTCGCTGATCTTTTGGTTGGAATGTTTGTGGCTCCGTTGAGGTTGTATCTACTGAAATACCCTGATTATGAATCGGCGTGGCTTGCTGCCATGTCTTTGCATCTATGTCGTTTTATGGTGTGGATAGATACGTTAGTATTTACAGCATCTATTTACACACTGACGTTCATCAGTTTTGATAGATACCTTAAAATAAGCAAGCCATTCAAGTACAAATCATGGATGACTACTTCCACATCATTAAAAGTAATATTGCTTATTTGGCCGATTTCAACAGGCTTTGCCACATTCGCCGCCACTCCTAATTCAGGAAGCAGGGGAATCTTGTTTACTGCCGATTTTTGTCCATTTGATGCAACTAAAGGATTCTATACATTTTTGGTAACAAGTGCATTTTTTCTACCCACAATAGTAATACTGGTTATGTATACCCTCATTTTCCTTGCTGCTCATAAACTACAAAAACGGATACGAAATGGTACACTGGGTCAAATATTGAACAATCAGCACCGACAACCTGCATTAATTCAAGATCTGAAAGTCATCCGGATGCTGTCGGTTGTCGTGGGAGTGTTTATACTTTGCTGGGGTCCTTTCTTTACTTGGGTGTTGTTGCTGTTTTACAATCCAAGTGTTTTTGAAGGGGATGAAAACTCATTAAACCACTGGTATTCTGTTCACATGCCAAACTTCGTAATAGTCATGCTTCCGCTGTTTAACAGTCTATGTAATCCAATAATTTATACCTGTCTTGACGAAAAGTACAAGGTTGCTATCAAACATCTGTTTAAGCGAATTTTGTGTCGGCAACTTCCAAGAACGCGACAACCACCAAACGCTGTTGAATTACTTCCACCGAGAAGGCGAGAATTGGAAAAAGCAAATGATTAGTTAGACACAAAGTTCATAAATAGAAGTTTCCAAGGCTAGTTAAGGCATACAGATGATGCAAAACTACTACGGCAGGCGCACGGCTACCATATATTTTACTATTGAGGGAGTAACGAAATTAGGTCGTCGAGAAAATTAAATTAACTGATTCAACAAGGCCAGTGGAAAGGAAAGCTTCCAGATGCTAAAGTAGCGATCGATAGGCTGTGATAATCGCATCTGCAGAAGGAGTGTTCTATTCACTAAATATTCATAGTTATACGAGATGGGCGTGGCAAAATAGGGGAGGGAGGAGCTTGGGGGTGGGGGAAGCCACCAGTCAGTTGTCTACTTATAATCTGGCAATTTTCTAGGCCTGTCCGCCTTGGTATGATGAATTTTTCACGACATTAATATTGATACAGCACATCCTGTTTTCATTTGTATTTATAATGGCCTTTTAGCTACAGCAAATGTAATAATAATCTTTAAGGCCACTCCAAATCAGACTTTAGTTTCCCGTCCTCCGCCCGCGTTGTTCCCATTATTTGACTTTTGCGACAAACAATTACGAAAAACCACAGTTTTCAAATAATCTATACATATTTATGATACAACACGTAAAAATCGAAATAAAATTCCTGAAACGTTTATCAAAGAGCGTGAATTTTTTTCCGTTTTCACTACGAACTGCTGAGCTACACACTTCAGTTACAAGTTTTGATTTTTGAACGTCAAAACCGATAAGGTTAATATCCTGGCTTTCATTTCTGCATACAAAAACTCTAAAACATTGCGTAGAAACGTGACTGAATGGATATTTAAAAAGAGTATCTATTTCATGAAATAATGGGCCGTGTTTCATCTTTCAGACACCATAATGGATAATGGAAATGGCCCGCCCGCCCGCGTGTAATTTGAAATAAGGGCCGGACAGGAAACTAAAGTCTAATTTGGAGTGGCCTAGTATCCATCTTTAGTTAAAAAATACAATGGATTTACAGCTGTAAAATAGAATTATATACAATAATGATATATACTACTAAAAAATACATGCATGCCGAAACCCTTGCCTTACTGACAAAACCATCATGTTTAGTTGTCATGGTAACACGATTATTTCGTTTATTCATACTCCTACAAGGTACTGAAAATAGTTATGTTTAATGTTATTGTTGTTTTGTTGATAAAGGTTAGGAGGACCACTTTGGAAAAAAGGTTGTAACCTTATCTGTTTATCCTCAATAAATAAAGTGTTATTAAACTCTATAATCACTACACTCAAAAAGTTAATGCATGTTTTGATGTTAATAGGCCAAGGACTTGGAATACGTTATGCTCTATATGTCGTTCTTGTTTTATGTCTTGTTGTTCGTAGAAGTGCATGTTCTGAGTTTTTGTACGAATGTAATTATGTGTAATACCGTAAATATGTAACTAGCTAATTATTTTGTTAATTTTATAACCGTTTATAGTATAGTATAGTATAGTATAGCACAGTATAGCGTAGTATTTTCATGTATGGCAGGACTTAATTTGGGACTTTATAAGTCCTGTTGTCTGTGCCTTCAATTTCTTATTGTAAAACCAACTAGAAAATACATGCATGCAGAAACCCTCGCCTTGCTGACAAAACCGTTGTATTTTCCGAACATGAAGTATCTAAAGTAGTTGTCATGGTAACACGATAATTTTTTAAGAATATTCTTACAAATGAAATCGCCTAAAAATATCACTTTTAATTACAAAATTATCAATTTCCCAACATATTTATGTTAGGTATGTAATCCCCGAGCCAACGGCGCGAAGCGCCGTGCGAGGGTACTAATTCCCCCCGGCTATTTACACCCGGGAAACGAAAGCATTAGCGAAGTCTAAAGTTAATCAAATATCGCGCGCGTGGGTCACCAACCGTGGGTGGTCATCCTCACTGATCTCAAAAATATGGCGGACTGTCATGAATAGCAAACACTGTGATTGGTCCAATTTAAAGTTTGCATTATAACGACTGCATGACGACAGCGAAATAGCAAGCATTTCTTGATTTGATGATTAATAAATTTCTTGCAAATATATTTCATTTTTGTTCGCATTTTTGCACGATTTTGTGAATTTCAAGAAAGAAATGGCGAAAGAATCGGCTAAAAGAAGGGAGTCGACGTTAACGAAGGTAAGTTTGTTTTAAATATTGATTTTATAATTGCTTTAAAACCCGACAGCCTTTGCGTATATGAAACAACTAAGCAAGACAGCATATCGGCCCCCATTTCAGTGTATCTTTAATCATTGATTCCTTTTTTTATTATATTGAATATTTTTTAAATAAAAAAGAAAGCAAAGTTATTTGCATGCTAGAATTTGAAATCATTTTATTGCAAACTCAAAGTTTATCGATAAAGCCATTTAATTAAAGAATAAATGCAGTTTAGTTTTATAAAGAACACTTTAAAACGTTTTGCGAAGCGTTTGTGGTTGAATTTTACCTTAAATTGAAGCTTATATTACGTATAATATCATACCTAACATATATATGTTGGGAAATTGATAATTTTGTAATTAAAAGTGATATTTTTAAGCGATTTTTCATTTGTAAGAATATTCTTAAAAAATTATTGTGTTACTATGGCAACTACTTTAGATAGTTCGTGTTCGGAAAATACAATGATTTTGTCAGCAAGGCGAGGGTTTCTGCATGCATGTATTTTCTAGTTATACGTAATACAAGCTTCAATTTAAGGTAAAATTCAACCACAAACAATTCACAAAACGTTTTAAAGTGTTCTTTATAAAACTAAACTGCCTTTAACTATTAAATGGCTTTATCGATAAACTTTGAGTTTGCAATAAAATGATTTCAAATTCTCGCTTGCAAATAACTTTGCTTTATTTTTTATTTAAAAAATTCAATATAATAAAAAAGGGAATCAATATTAAAGATACACTGAAATTATATGCTGTCTTGTTTAGTTGTTTCACATACGCAAAGGCCGTCGGGTTTTAAAGCCATTATAAAATCAATATTTAAAACAAACTTACCTTCGTTAACGTCGGCTCCCTTCTTTTAGCTGATTCTTTCGCCCTTTCTTTCTTGAAATTTACAAAATCTTGCAGAAATACGAGCAAAAATGAAGAATATTTGCAAGAAATTTATCAATCATCAACTCATCAAATCAAGAAATGTTTGCTATTTCGCTGTCGTCATGCAGCCGTTATAATGCAAACTTTAAATTGGACCAATCAGTGTCCGTTATTCATGACAGTCCGCCATATTTTTGAGATCAGTGAGGATGACCACCCATCGTTGGTGACCGACGCCCGCGCTCATTGATGAACTTTAGACTTCGCTAATGCTTTCGTTTCCCCGGGTGTAAATAGCCGGGGGGGATTAGTACCCTCGCACGGCGCTTCGCGCCGCCGGCTCGGGGATAAAAAAAAATTTTATGAATAGTGTTAAGATGGCTCCCTTAATAAAGGGGAAGTCAAGTCCGTAATGAAAACAAACGGTTTGTTTACATTTTGAACTGCTGTATTTTTTAAAATATGATGTACTGTCTGAATATCTAACACCATTTTGGTTCGTTATGCTTCTACATGAATATGAAATAGAGTTTGTGTTCAGAAAAATTCGAAACATTCAAAATTTGGGCAATGTTTACCTCAGAGGGCCCTCTATTGTTATGCGCAGAACCGATGCGCAGAACGGACTTGACTTCCCCTTTAAGTTTCTTGAAATTTGGAAAATTTATGATTTGGACTGATCAAACTTTTTGCAGGATTTTTGCCTGTTAAGACTAGACGAAATTTCGGAAAATCGTACATCAAGAGGCATTCCTTAGTAAAAGTTGGCGATCGTAGTTTTCTAATGTTATTTAACACGCTGAATTCGAAAATGATGGTCGCCAGATCTCAATCTGTAGTTGAGTAGTCGAAAATGACGTCACAACTTTCGTCTACATATGACGTCACAGCACATATAGATTCAAGAGAAATAAATATTTTAAATTTGTTACTCATCCAATTACAGCATATTTAAGCCATTTTCAATCACAAATATCTTTCACCTTTATGTTGGCAAAAATGCTCAAAAAATTCAATAAATGCTCATTATCATTAAATGTCTATATAACGTTGCAAAATGCATTGCGGTTAAATATCAAAGTAGTTAATTAAATGACACAGTGCATGGAAAGCTCCCCAATATACTTAGCGCGCATTCTAAATTCTGATCATACCTCACTGTTCTGTTCACTTATCGCATTTGTTTTTGCAGGAAATGTTTTCGTCCACAGAGCAGCGGCAGATGCCAGTACAGAACAACTTTGCTTTATTGCAGCCACAGCGTAATGTCGTGCAGCCATTTTTACAAGAGCAGGTTATAATTTTTTTGAATGCATTCGGAATGGGTTCCTTTGTCATAAGGAGAGGGACGAGTTTACTGCCGCCTTCGCTTTCTCTCTTCCATCCCATTCCGTCCGGGTTTGGCAGGATAGGATCCTGGCATGAAGCTTGTTTCCACACGAGTGATTGATAGTGCACGCGCTTGATATGCAATTCCAGTGCGTCCTTGGTCGGAGGCAACGCTTCAGGTTTCTTTGTCTTCGAAAAGAGAAGAACTCGCGCATCATTCACTGATTCCATGTGCCCGCAGTTGTAAATCGCACAGATGAACTTTTCGGCATCCCTGACTTTGTTGGCCGATAGTTCTCCTTCACCTAGCGACGCTAGAAGGTAATGTTTGTCTTGAAATGTCTTCCACTCTGACAATTTGGAGTGGTTGGAGATATTTGACGTTGTGTCACAACCAGTCAGCGCATGGAAAGGGAGGAGCGCTGATAGTGATCCCGCGGAAAGATTCTCGCTTATCGCCCTGATGTTAAAGAACTTGCGCCTGGCCGCTGTTCCTGCCATCATCCACACATTTGGAGAAGGCATACTTGGTAAATGCGCCACAAGAAATAACAGTACGTCAGTATCTCTGGCAGACACAACAACCGTGTCACAACTGTTGACGATAGCATGTAGAACCAATCTTGTATCAGCTTCTTCGTGATCTGCGCACAAAAGGGAAGGATCAACCAATTGGCTTGACGATTGCGCTTCTTTTCTGTCGGAAAATCCACCTGCAACAACAATGACTTTCTCTTGAGGTGCATTTGCAATTAAATGTTCGGACAGAAATTTGGCCAAGTTTGCCTTGTTTTCCGGTAAAGCTAAGAAATTTGACCAGCTGTTCGGGAGTGGAACATTCTTGTTCTCAATTACACGACGAACGGGGCGAATAGTCCTGGTACGGTGTTCTCTCGTGCCTGCTTTGATTGAACTCTTCTCGCACCTGTCGAATAGTACGTGAATTTGCTGATACCGCGAACCTGCTACCAATACGGCATCTTGGAATCTATCTCCATAGGCTCCGAAGGTTTGAGCGTCGGCAGGTTTTCCTACTGCTGCTACTAACGCCATGTCGTCAATCAGTAAACATGCACTTCCTTGCAAATCTATAGCACTCGGACATTCAATTCTCCTGGTGAGAACATCAGCCAGCGCTGCTTTCTGGCCAGTTCTAAGTTTACCATTCGTTTCCGCTAATGATATGGGTACGGACATTAGCTCATGCGACAAAACATTATGTAAATCTACTTCTCGACCAGCTCCGTAAGCACCGATAAGATGCTGTAAAACACTCCTGTCAGCCCGTAAAATCGTTTTCTTTTCTTTCTCTTTGCCCCCTTTGGCGACTTGATACAACGAATCGAAAGTAAGAGCATTGTTCTTGTACATTGTATCCGTAAACTGAACCTTGGTATCCCCTTGCTCGTTATTAGGTTACTGTTGAAGTAGTTCAGCCAACCTTTGCTGTACAAAGTTTTTAAATTGTTTCTGGCCCATATCTTTCGCGCCTAACAGTGGTTCTTGAATCTCGAAGGTGGCCAAATCTTTCGTAGCGATGCTGAAAAGACATTCTGGATGGGATGTTGGTGAAAACACATCATGCTGCTCGAAGACGGAAATAGTGATTCTTCATCCTTATTGTCGCGAACAATCCTTGCAGGCGCAGATTCGTTGTGACAATACGTATCCTCTTGAACTAGGCCAAACATCTCATGAGTTTTCTCAGCAATCTCCGACCGCAAATTATAAGAAGCTTGGAAGCAAAAAATAATACATTTTACACCATTTGGTAAATATGTAATTGTAGGTATTATTGTATATATTTTACAAATTGTTCCGTATTTTGACACTTTATTAAATAGTGCACACGTGAATATCGATCTCAAACCGGTTTTGTGCTACACAAATAATCAGTTATCCAAATAAGTAACTGGCCGATTAAGGCTGCATGTTTGCGCCCGATTTAGCATTATTTGGACAATTGAAATAAGGAATTGAATATAAAATGTATTTATTAAAACCTTTAACGCACCTGCTCAAGGCTGAAGATGTCTTAGTTATACCAACAATTCCACCTCCTCGTTTACCAATGCCGTTCAACCACTCGAGGCTGTGGTCAGCGCTTACTTTATTGAAAGCGCCCTCTTTATACTTTAGAACAAAGTTACCCTTCTTAAACTCCTGTAACATTTCATACGGCAATTGTTCCATCTCGGCGATAAATATCGACCCCCCACTTGGCATAATTCAGGTGGTCGTACATGAAAAAGTATGGAAGCATGGCACGGAAGCTGTCTAGATACAACTCCCGATCTCTCTCCCGCTGCGCACGGGTAAAATCGAGTAGGATAAATATCATCTCCATATAGCTCCACCAGAACTGAAAATTGACATTTTCCTGACACTTCTGCGTTAAGAACTCGTCGTACACCGTTTGAAATTGTGGCCACTTCAAACATGTAATCAAATCATTAACATTCTGTTCTGACGACAAAAGACGCGAAATCTGCAGTGCAAGATCAACATTGATCGTTTTGCAAAACTTGAGTAACAGCGGGACCAACAGGCGCCATAGGGCTTCCAGTGTTATCTTATGCGCACGCATTGCTCTTTTATACGCCTTGCCGTTCATCACAGTCTCAGCAGCATTTGGTCCTAGGAGACCACTCTCTATCCATGAGTCAACAAGGCCTGATCGCTTCATATGATCTCCAATGGTCTTAAGAAAACACATAGATATATGGAGACCGCCGAGTTGTACGACAAGTTTCTCTCGATATTCTGGAATTGCCCATTTCAACTCGACTAATTTGCAGTACAGTGCTTGATCTACGGTGATAATAGTGTACTGTTGTCCAAGCACGGTGGCCACATGCATGCATTCCTTAACGACCGTGTTCAAGGTATCCATTTCCAGCGCGGGTGCTTGTATGATTGGCATGTACCCTATCTATGTTACTTCATGCCCGAACTTGTCGCCAACTTCTCCCCGTGACAGCGACTGGTTAAACTCCGTCCATCCGCTTCAAATCAGTAGCTTTGGCAGCTTGTTTACATTCTTTCTTATCTTCAGCTTGGTCATACCACGTCGTCTTAACTGCTTTAATGAAGACAGGATTGCTTTTTCTTGCCACAATTGTTTCAATCTTGTCCATCGATTCTGGAATATCCAAACTTCGATTTTTGGATGGATTTACACCGTCAAGTAACGACGAATTTTCTGCCCCACGTTGCCATCCAGCTATTTGTGTGGCATGAAACGTGTTCTTACCGTCCAGCGTTTCATCCAAAATATCAATGTTATCAGCAGATAAGTGTACGAAATTACATTGCACCAAATTTGGCGGGATCACGGTTCCGCTTTTTTCATCCATAGTGTTATAACACTCTCGGCTAAACCCGTGTCAAGTTGAAGAATTTGGTCATAACTCAGAATATGTCCTGCCTTGTGAAAAAGTTTAACTAGATCTTTCGATCTTGTGACTTGGTGAAGGGTGCTCCCTAAGCCAATGTGCTTAGGTGTCCATTTCTTACCTTTGCTTACCCCGTACACATTATCTTGAGCAACGGCAAGCGCTTTACGGCGAACTTCATTTTCTTTTTCTTCAATCGTTTCCTCATCCAAAAGTCGTTCTCCTCCAAACAAAAGATTTAGAAACATTTGCAGACTTTCGGGAACACAATCACCGACATCGTGCATGCCTATGTCGAGTCCCTTGTAACGTGGGGTCTCCCGCACATCAGCTCGTATCATCAACGCCACATGAACAATTAAGAGAGAGGAAATCGTCTTGTTGGTGATAAACAGGCAGAGTTAGTTCATCGTCTTCTTCGTCAGCCGTACCCTGGGCTACTAACTGGGACAGAGCCATTTTAGCGCACTTTTTGGGAATTAGCAAGATGTGACGCTCAGACAGCCCCCGTTCAAATGATTGCACGTACTCTATGATGTCTCCAACCATATGCACAAGTTTGTCCTTAAAAGTCGCCCTTAGACTGATAAAATAAGAGGGAAGCGTGTTGCCCGCTTTTTCGGCTAATATAGTGTATCTTTCCCATGCGTCATCAAGTCTAATAACATGGCCCTTGTCAGCTGCATACTCCAATTTTTTGGACAACCAAACCAATGCTAAGTCATTGTCTTTCATTTCACTCTTTCTCTTATCCCTTGATCTTTTAGATGCACTGAAGCATGATAAATGGTACTTAGCTTCAGCGGCTATCCAATCTGAGATACCCGCAAATCGAGTGCACAGTATTTTGTCAAACTTAGAAATCTTAATAATTTGTTCACTCGTCTTAAATGCCATAACTGACGATAAGCGCTCATTCGTATGAACCTGACAGAAAGCACATTTATCCCAATCAACTTGTTTTGTTTGCGCACGCGTTTTACGCGGACTTGAGGTTGATATTGCAGACGCCTCATCTTTGTTGCACTTTTTCTCCAGGCGCTGAATTTTGTCTTTGCTTGTAAATAGCTAGGGAATAGCATTTGACATGCCAGACGATTGAAGTATCAATACTATTTATGACTTCTTCCAGCCTACTGATTGTTTCCCTGTTCCCAACATCTCTAAACTTGCTCCGCAAATTCATGGCATCGCGAACTACCGTTCTGCTATAATCAGTAGCGGCTCTCAAATGTTCATCTTTAAGACTGGTCAGGCAGAAAATACAAGCATTTACGTCGATTTGTGAAGAAAACTCGAAAATTGAAGACCACAAAATCCGCAACAAACAATAACAGCAAAACTGAACCAATTTTTCCCATGCAATTAAGAAAACAGACTTCGCAAATTTATATTGTCCTCTAACGGTTAAATATATTAAATCAGGAAGAAAATGCAAAGCCTTTTAATACATTTTACAAATCCGACAAGCGCCGCCAAGACGGCGCCAACATCTAGTCTACGAACCCATTTTCTACTCTTGAGACGCTTGTTTGTTAGCCTGCATGGCAGGCGGTTCCTAAAATTGGGCAAGCCTGGTATTTTAGACCGCCTGCCATGCAGGCTACTTGTTTGTCTGGATTGTAATTTTTTTAGGTATTTTTTTTCAAAAACTATTTCCAGTTCTGTCTTCAAATATACTTATGCCACAATCACCAGAAGTTCAAAACTCTTTTAAGGACAAAAAAAAATAATTCGGTTTCATCAGCTTTCATTTCTCGCCGTAAAATTAAAGTCTGCTTTTACTCAAATTATTTGTTTATTTAATTGATTTAATCGGCTATTTCGTGTTATTCGTAAACTTTATGCTTATTTATGGTTTATTAGCTTTTTTAACAACTCACAAAGGAGAAAATATCGTTTGCAATTTCGAAATAAACACGAACAAGTAAGATTATTATTATTAAAGGTTTATTAAGAAACACATTTTGAATTGCAATATGCTTACAGAAACATAATAAAAGATGAGTATCAAATAATATAAATATAAATATATCGTATATGTACAGTTGTTAAAATACTACAAATTATTTACTATTAAAATTAGCAGTCATTGCTGGTATAAAACTAGTTTTAAAACGTTCCGTTCTGCATTTAGTTAATGTGAAGTTAGAATTGTTTCTTAAGTCCAGTTCATGCGATTCTTCACGGAGTGGGGGTAAGAGGTGGTTGAGGTGAGCATCGGGTTTTAAGATCTTTTTGAATGTTTTAGCACATAGCTCTTGACGTCTGTCGACAAGACGCTTGCATTTAGCGATGTTGAGAGCATCTTCGTAATCTGTTGTCGGATAAATAATACGGAAAGCTCTTTTTTGAACTTTTTCAATTTTACCCCCAAACACTTTGGTAATATGGTGTGCCAGACAGGACAGGCATATTCTAAGATAGAGCGCACCATAGAAAAGTAGACTAGTAAGAGGTCATTGGGGGGAAGACCACAGCGCTGTAGGACACGAATAATGTATAAGCGTTTTGAGGCTTTTTTAACTAACGCTTCAGTGTTATCTTGCCATTTCAATTTATTGTTCATGGTTAAGCCCAAAATTTTGAAAGAAGGAACTAAGTCTAGAGGTAAACCATCAATGAGGAGTCGGGGGATGTCATTCTCGCTACGGACGAAACTCACTATCATTTCTTTGCATTTCTTCCGTTCAATTTCATGTTGTTATTAACAGTCCATCTTTCAATTGTGTTAAGATCAGATTGTAGGACTAAAACTTCATTTTTCTTTAAGGACTCCGATATTGTTACGTCATCCACGTATTTCCAATGGTCAGTGCTAGAGGATGCCAGTTCAAGATCGTTGATCATAATTATGAACAAAATAGGGCCCAATTGGGTTGATTTTATGTTTCACGTCATCCACCATCCAATTGACCACAAAGTCCTCAAGAATTTTGGACATAGAGGCTGTAAGGGAGATTGGGCGCAACTCCTCCTCACAGGATACGGATGGCGCTTTAGGAATTAGTGCAATTAATGCATCTTTCCATATGTTAGGGAATTCACCAGTGGACAGAGATGTATTAAAGATGTGACATACAGGTTCGGCCAATTCGTACGCGAAATCCTTAATAATCCGGTTAGGAATATTGTCAGGACCGCTGGATTTGAAAACTTTTGTATTGAGCATCTTAGTGCAAACTTCGTCAGGGAAAATTTTTGGTACAGGCCTTGGTGCAGGGAGAAAGGCAGGTAGCAGGAGAGGATTCAGTGGTGGTAGGTCATTACTCACGCTTAAGAAATAGGTGTTAAGTGATTGGGCGAGATCTTTACCAGATAGAGTGGTACCATTCTTAACGATCTTAATGTTATTGGTTGCAGATCTTTTTTTCCCGGACATCTGGTTAACACAGTCCCACCATTTTCTGGAGTCACTGGATTTTAGGTGTTGTACCTTGTTCGTATATTATGCACGCTTTTTCACTCCTATGTCGTTTCGGACTTTAAGTCTATAGTGACCCCAGAGGTCAAGGTTACCAGAATGAAGGCTTTTTGCCTTTGATAAATCAGTTTTTTTAATGCAGGCGTCATCCATGGTTTGTCAGAGTTATGAATTCTAATAACCTTAGACGGGAATAACCTATCAACAGCAGAATTTAACTCGTTGGTAAAGGAGGACGCTAGAGCGGTCGCAGAGTTTTTGCTTTCGGCATCAGAGAACCACTCACGTGAGCAGCACCATCTTCCAAAAGCTGCACGTGCCGACATGGGGAAGAAACGTATGTTTTTCTTAATTGTTTTATTATCTGTTCTTAAAACGTTAGTTTTCGCGGACCATTTAACAATGTTGTGATCTGATGAGCCGAGCGGTGCTATAATCACAGGCTTAGAATACAAGGCTTCTAGATTAGTAACAATTAGATCCAAGATGTGACCTTCACGCGTTGGGGTGTCCACTATTTGCGTAAGATTGTGATGGCACAGGAGATCGCTGATATCTAAATTGTTGAAATCACCGAGTAAGACAACACCGCATTCGGGGTGGGTACATCTAACTCGGTCAATCTGATCGATAAGATAGGCCGTTAATTCCTTTTGCTCATTTGACTGGTGTATCAGGCGGGTTATATAGGACACAGCAGATTAATCCAGTTAGGTGTCTTGGGAGGCGGTGGGGTCGTAGCCATAACCATAAGCATTCATGAGAGGGGTTTTCAAGGTCCATTCTTCTTTTAGCTGGGATATTTGTCGAGATGAAAGCGCAGACACCCCCACCACGGCTGTAAGATCTATCATTGCGAAAAATGTTGTAATTAGTTATGTTGTAATTATTTAGCATCATTTCTAGTGTCAATCTCATGACGTCATCAATATGACGTCATTATCTTGATCCAAACGCAAAATCAGAGTTGGCGACAATGAAATTCGGATTCAGCGTCAAAAACTACATAAGAAGACACTTGTCGCCAACTTTTAATAAGAAATGCCTCATGCACTTTAATTAATATATCGATTTCTTGAATTTTTCGCCTAGTCTATGTTTGGAAACAGGAATTGTGTGACTTGTATAAAACAATTGTTTTAGAATTGGAAGTGATTAATAGAAATGACGTCATTGTTGTTGCTATAGCGACAATGACGTTTCAATATGGCCAACATTTTGGTTTCAAACGTATTTTACTCGAAAAACCGTCCGGTTACCCCCATTTTTTATTTCTTGAAACGTTTTATACAAGTATAATGGAATATTTAAACGAGTTTAAAAAATTCTGTAGAGCCATTTTTAAAAAAATTTAATCACCATGATTATTCATAATACAAAAAAATGGCTCTACAGAATTTTTTTAAACTCGTTTAAATATTCCATTATAGTTTTAGAAAACTTTTCATGAAATAAAAAATGGTGGTAACCGGACGTTTTTCCGAGTAAAATACGTTTAAAACCAAAATGTGGGCCATATTGAAATGTCCTGTTGCCATAGCGACGACAATTTTTTATTTATCTTTTCCAACTCAAAAAGTATCGGTTTTATATAACTCACACAATTCCTGTTTCCTAACATGCAACAATCCTTAAAATTTTTTGATCCAAATCATAAGTTTTCCAGATTTCAAGAAACTATAGGGAGCCACCTTAAAATTAAAAAAAAACCCCAAAATACCACTTTTAATTACAAATTAAAATGATCAATTTCTCAAACATATATATGCTAGATATGTTATTATATGCTGTCTTTTTTCATTTATATACGAAACGATCGTATCAGTTTTTAAAGCAATGATAAAGCAAACAATACATCAATATTAAAAACAAACTTACCTTCATTAACGTCGGCGTCTTTTCTCCCTTCTTTTAGACTTTTTTTTGGCATTTTTTCCCAAAGGGTTTGAAATTTACAAAATCTTGCAAAAATACAACATATTTGCAAGAAATGTTTGTTATTTCGCTGTTGTCATGCAGTCGTTATAATGCAAATTTCAAATTTGACTAACCACTGTTCGCTATTCACGACAGTGCGCTACATATTTTGAAATCAATGCGGATGACCACCAATGAACGGTGAACCATATAGCCATGCGCCCGCTATTATTGACAAACTTTAGACTTCGCTAGTGCGTTCCTTTCCCCGAGTGTAAATAGACGGTCTGAATTACAACCCTCACGCCGAGCTTCCGCCCGAAACGGCGCTGAGTGCCCTTGGCTCGGGGATGAAAATGGTTAAAATATAAATTGTCCATTAATCCCCGAGCCAACGGCGCGTAGCTCCGTTCCGGACGTAAGCCCGGGGCGACGGTACTAACTCTGCTTGGCTATTTACACCCGGGGAAGGGAAAGCATTAGCGAGGTCTAAAGTGGTGTGACGATGTATGGGCAACCTCGTTTCCAGGGCTTTCGAGTGAGGACGAGGGTAGACTTGCCCAAGTCGCTCGCTAGGGACCGCGCGTAGCAAGAAAGGAGCGCTTGAGAAAGACGGAAGCGAGCGACTTGTGTCACTTGCCTGATTTTGAATCTTACTGAAAAATTTGGCGCGAAAACCAATTATGACATAGTGGGCGTTCACCATGTCGATTTCACTAGTTCATTATTATTTTGTTGACGCGACTTCCATATATTCACAATGGATGGCGAGTGCACAACACCCACAAAAAGTTTTGCGAGAGTGGATATTTCACCAAATTCCAAGGGTAAAATTTGCATTCAGTGCGGGAAAGAAATAACGGACTCTAATAAACTCTTTAACCAGTCGATAAAAACAGTAGCTTGCGAAAGCTTGGAAAGAATTGTTGAAAGAGAATTTGATACAGAGAATTGTTTGTCTTATATTATATGCCGTAACTGTGTGGATAAGAATACCAAATTGCTACATAAGCTTGACCTGGCTCGTGATCTTTTTCACACTGTTGAGTCAACTTTGATTGAAAAGAAAGGGAAATTGGTAACCAAAAGGCAAAACAGTAACGATAAACAACAAGACTCTCCCAGTGTAAACCTAGGAAACAAGCCAGTTAAAAGGCGTGTTGTTTTTTCGACAACGGAACCTGTTACAGACAGCAAAAACCAAGAAACTCAAACAGAAAGCATTCAAGTCAATTCTGAAATATTGTCCGTTACGGTAAGTTGCAAAGTTTATCGGTATCCGAATTATCGACAACATAAAGTCAACTGTTTTCACACGATTTTGACAACTTGTATTAACATTTAGTAGTATTAAAGGCATGCCTGATGAGTAATTTATAAAGACAACATAATCCGTCCATTGTTCTAATTACAATTTAGGATAAACAACAATTAAGAAAGTTACAATGTAAATGTACATTAAAAAAGCATTAATAATTCATGAAGAAAACACAAAGAAAAATCATAAGCGTATATGTGATACAGATTCATGTTGATTTACATAAACTTTAACTTTGATTTTCTCGGCTTAGACAACGTTTATTTTTAAAATTACTTCGCCAATGAACTCATACGATGAGTCGTTTTTTCAGTCATTTACAACATTCGCGTCCGTGTTGTATCGGATATTCGGATATACAAACTCTCGCCTTCGGCTCGAGTTTGTATATCCGATACAACACGGCCGCTCATGTTGTAAATAGTACAAATTATTGCTATATTATTAATTGATATTCTCTATAAAGATTTAACACAATATTAATAACAATCGGAGTGTGTATTAAGAAATGTTTTGCTGGCGCTTTGTTTATATTTTATATAATTTTTGGGCGGACTGATTGACTTTAAACTGCAACTGTTTTTCCCTTCGCTTTATAGGTCATAACTAGTTACCCAAATAGCCAAGAAAAAAGGGTTGTTCTTCCAGAAAAATATCTTCGGTTAGCGAGACAGTTGGCATTAGGAAATCATAAATCAATTGCCTCTGCTGTTTTTTCTGTTGATGATATTGCGGACGAAGTAATGGCTATAGCCGCTCGTCGTGTTAATAACGAAATAACAAATTTATGTGCCACTTCCAACCCATCAATTCTGCGCAAAACGTCCAAAGAAGATCTCGCTAAATTTTCGTGGGAGAATATTCATAAAGAATTGAAAGAAAGAGCGCCGATGTTCATGCGCTTTATTGAAGCTTCTGTCCAGAACCCTTCCCAGGCAAAAAATGTAAACAAAAAGGACGATAACCTCATACCACCTATGTGTGACGCTGCTTCTCAACTGATCTCCATTTTTAGCGAAGGAATGTGTGCTACCAGAAGAATAAAGGGCGTAATTCTTAAGAAGAACGGGCTGAAGAAAATCGGTTTCCAAAGATTGGCTCGATTATACGCGTGTATGGGGTATAAGTCAACTAACAAAATGTTCGAAACTTTTGCCAAAGATTTTGACATCAAATTATTGACATGGAAAGAACAGGTAGAGAAAGATGTGAAAAAAGAAAGGGAAATTTTGTCAAAGTCGAGTAAGCTGGATCCGAATGCTGAAGAAGAGATTATTTCGGAAGCCAATAAGCTTCAAAAACACCGAGAGAATATGCATCCGTCGTACTCATTCGCAGGAGATAATGTGGACTTTATTATAAAGCCCAGACAAATGATGAAATCTAAACAGAACAAAGACTTCCATATGTTTCAGAACGTTGCATACGAAAACAGGATTTCACCTAACAATCTAAGCGATGATCAGCCCATTGTCGACGTAGACAAAATATCATGGTTAACCTTTCTTCCAAGTGCAATGGAACAAACAAGTTTAGCTGAAGAAATCACTGTTATGGTATGTCAACTATGGGCGAAGTACATTCCTGCTTTGAGTTGGTTCAATGGTTATGTTCCTACACACATTCCTCACAAGCACATGGAAGATGTTAAGAAGAAGACAAACAAGGTAAATGATAGTAATTCATACGCATTTCTGATTAACGCATTGCTGAGAATATAAATAATGGTTACATTATTTATATTCTTTAAAGGTGATCTACAGTCCGTATGTAAACAAAGCCTTTGTTTACATTTTTGCGTCCAAAATATTGAGCTTTATTCGACAACTATTTATAATTTCAAGCTTCTAGAGTATAATAAATGATCAAGAAACAACAATCAGGCTTTGCAAGAACCAAAAACATAGTTAAACTGTTTGTATCATAAAAAGTGGGCTCCTTTGTGCACATGCGCAGATTGGACTGTAGATCACCTTTAAAAAAATTGCCCTGGATTTTGAGACTTGTCCCAGGAATGCAAAAATGCAGGCCATATATATACCCCTCCAACCCAAATAAGAAATTGCTTACAACAGCACTGGGGTACAAGGCATATTTTAATGATTTAGCAGTGGGGGGCCATAACTGAAGCCAAGCACCGAAAGCACAAGCCTTGCATGGGTGTCCGGGGGGATCCTTCCCCGCAAAATTTTGAAATCTGGAGTCTCTGAAATTGCCATTTCATGCATTTTTCGGAGGCGATTTTAAATAATTCTGAATACTAAAAAAGTGAATGTTTTATTTCAATAAAATTTTTTATTAACTTATACATATGATATAGCATCTGAGTCAATTCCATTTTGTGGACATTACAATCAGAGACAGAGGCCAAAAATTAAAATAATAATTTGCATTACTTAACTTCGTGTATATATTAAAATATAGTCATTTTGTGTTTTTAATTAAAACTTAATTTCAAACCATAAAAGTCATAAAAGCATTAATATTTCATCAAATACATACAAAGTCATACCATTCACACTGTAACGATCCAATGTATTATTGTCTGAGGTAACAGTTTAAATGCAATAATATGTTAAAAGGGCCCAGGGAGTGGGGGCAATTTTGTGTGAGTGGCCCGGCCAAATTGCCCCCCCCCCAGTATATATGTTAAAATATGCCTTCCTGGGGTATATACAACTATTTTAATACATTTGTTTGGAACAGGTACATTTAGGTGTTCTTCGGAAAAACGAGCAATACGAGGAAGATATGATAGACATATTGGAGTGGATTCACAAATATGTTCCAGGCCATTCAGATAAGGATGATCAACCTGGTACTTTAGTAAAAGTATTAAATAGCGGTGATTACCTTACTCATGAGCGGAACAAATCAGCACAATCAGCAATGCAAGATGGAAGAACACCATCTGCAAAATTACTTGGTCTAGTAAGTAAGTTTGAAGATTTCCACACTCAATGCGAATGGTTAAAGGTACAGTATAAATATTGACCATCAGCTCGCAATAGCCCAAACACCCATATTTTAGCATTTTACTCTGTCTAACACCAGACAATGTTACCCACTTGTTGAAGAGTGTTAACAGTGCCTCTTGTTAAACCATTATATTTAAATGAGCCCAAATGTTCACATTTAGCACCTTTGCTTTGTCTATTACCAGACAAATTAACTTCAGCAGAAGAGTAATGCAAGTATATAATTAGAAATAATTTTAATCTTTGTCATATGTAGTCTTTATGAGGAGCAACTTATACTAGTGATCAGGATTTTGCCATTATTTTTAGATATTGCCCATCATAACCAAATGAGAAATTCTTTCCACTTAGTAATCAGATGAAAAGTGTTGCTACATCTGTACATCTTAATCATTAGAGTAAGATGTACAGCTGTAGCAACACTTTTCATTTGATTACTAAGATCATGCAGTAATTACTGGAAACAATTTCTCATTTGGTTATGATTGGCAATATCTAAAAATAATGGCAGAATCCTGATCACTAGTATAAGTTGCTCCTCATAAAGACTCTAAGCTACATATGACAAAGATTAAAATTATTTCTACACACACCCACATTAGCCACCATATAAATGAGAGTTGTCTTAAATGCTGTTGGAACTACTCCAGCTATCACTACGATTTATTTATCGTGGAATGGGTATTGGTAGGATGTGATATAAGCCTAAATGCTTCAAAATGTTCATCCAACGGAACAATTCTCCCAATCTGTCTGTCCAATGGACATGAAAGGCAGCCTCAGCCTAGACATAGGCCTTTACTCGACTTTGGCATTAGCAGGTGGCAGCTGCTATGGCATTAGGCTAATGACATTACAGGGTAGAAATGGAAGGCTTTTGTCTAGGCTGAGGCAGCCTTTAAATGCAGTGCTAGGTTATGCATCAAAGCCACAAACAACCTCGTACCCAGGCTCTTTCCTGAGGAAAGAGCCTGGGTACGAGGTTGAGCCATTAAGTATTTTTCTGAAAGGACGTAAACTTTAATCTGACCATTCTTAGAAGTGTATGATAAAAATGCTGGTGAAAGCTGTGTACATTATTTATTGAATTTTATTCACAAGTATTCAATGGTTAAAAGTACTGTTTCTTATTTTAAAGGTCATATGGCTGCATTTATATAGTGTATCATCTGTAAGAGATCCTGGAACTCTTTATCATGCAAGAAATTTAATCTGTGCAAGAAATGTAACAAAGGATCCTTCCAAGAATTATTATGCAGCAAGTGAGTTCTTAGATAAGTTTGGTGATGCCTATTTGGTTGCTGGTGCTCTTGATCATTTTGGAATGACATCAATGAATGATGAACAAACGGTTAATAAATATGAGAGTCTTCCAAATGATGAAGAGGCCAAACAAAGCTATGTTCAGAGAACTGTTCGAAATTTTATTGACAAACATGTCATGAATCAAATGCCACAGCAGGAATCTGCAGTGATGATTGACAACATGACTTGCCGGTACTGTGGTAAGAAGTATGTACGAAGAAGTTACCTTAATAAACACGAGAAGGAGCATGGCCACGTTGAGGACACGCAGGAGTCTACCAATATGATAACCTGTGAACAGGATCACATTTATAACTACACACGACAGGTATTAGTTTTGCTTCTTTTACGGATAAACCACAACAATGCCATAAGTCTTGGGGATGGCGGTCGAGTTGTTCGAACTTACAAGTTCTTTTATCTGTTCTTTAAAATTTCTGGATGCCCTAAATATGCATATGCTACCCTTGAGTTATTAGCACAGATAAATTATCTGTTAAGTCCAAGGTTATCATACTCATTGACATGGAATAGATTCGTTAATCACAAAGGACTTATTGATTCAAACCATCCGATAGATCTAGATGTTGAACATGACAACAAATCGTTTAAAACAGACATTCATAGTTTCCGAGGAGAGATCACAGACAAAAGTATCTCACGAGTAAGTCAGAGCATTGAGGTGTCCAACGCAATTTTGGCTAGTCATGATAAATCAGCATGTGTTCGGAAGCCATCTGGGAGACACTCGAAGATCTCGAATGAAGATGATGTCAAGATTCTAGTTGAAGAGTTTCAGCAAGCAGAACTATACAAGTGCATTCCCGGGCGGTGCCACAAAGCCTTTCCAAACATGAAGGAAAATTTACTTGATGAATTGGACATGACCAAGTTCCAGCTATGGGTGAAGAATTCAATGAAAAAGTTTTGTGAAAAGAGCTACTACAAATAAAGATAATTAATGCATTGGGACTGTATTACATAGGCATGTATGGGCATATCACCCCCACAAATATTAAAGCAAACATCTTTGCACATGTTCGAAAACCTGTAACGAAAGGGGCATTTAGAACTTTCATGCAATATTCCAATTCTTAGAGATAAATGCAGCATGTCAGTTTGAGTCCTCTTACTTTAAAACATCCTTAGTTAATATGCCACTGTTATTAAATATACATGTACCAAACATGAAAACAATGCTATATTTTCTAAAATCTTTAATAGACCTTTTCCATAATGACGTCAAATGGGAAAGACTAATGTTACATGAAATCAATCAAACTCGTGTAACATCTAATATTCTTTGTTTGACGTCATTATGAAAAAAGGAGTATTTCATAGTTACAGTGGCTAACTACAGTAAACCAACCAACATGGCTGTCAAAACATTGCAAGGAAATACAGTTTATGTGCTTAAATTGATAAAGCACATTGTTTATTTCAATATCATTGAAAATATTGCATTGTTATGTGAACAATTAAAATATTCTTAACTGGTGCCACCTGACAAAATAATTGTATTAACTTGAAATTTGATACAAATACTTGTGACAATGACACACCTTGTTAATAAACAAGCTTTATATGTTGTATTTCATGAAAGGTTTTATAATTTTGCAATGTAATGGTATAAACCCCCTACTTATATTTCAGGCAGTTTTACTGAAAAATGTTCAGTTTATCATTATGTATAGTATACTTAAAAAACTTACTATAACTTAATGCTTTTATGATGAACAATTCGAGCTGATGGAAATTTCGTCTTCAGAACTTGAATATCCAGTATGAAGCCATACCATCTTTTTCGGATTTTGCCAATTATCCTCAGATGAAGATGACTCGGTTGTATTATATGAGTCGCTACTTCCAGAATCATTGATAGGGTTTGCAATACATTTATCTACAAGTACATTTGTACAAACATTGTTGGAGTCAGTATCACATAGAAAAGAGTTAATTATTTCCCATGTCTTTTCCATATGCTCATCACAAAAAAATGCAAAATTTGCATTTAGGTACTCCTTGTCTTTGATGTATCTGGCATTCTTTATAATGGCATCAATAAGACTTTTGCTATAACCAGTAGCTGCATCAAATCCAGTTAGCATATTCAAGTTATGTTGTCCAGAAAGATTGTTTTGTAAGTGTAACCTATACTGTAAAAGATTACTTTCCATCTTAAATATGCTAGTTTGTGATAAGTTGTGAACTGGGTGTTTATCTTTTCTTTGATCACATTCCAATTCCGCAAGATGTTTTTCAACAGATGAAAGACAACCATCTTGTGCACATTTCTTAGAACATGAACAGTCACAATGGCATTTACACAAACATTTGCATGCACGGGCGCATATGTCACAACATTCATGAAGAATAGATTTCTCAGGAACAACTACATCAAAATGATTTAAAAGCATATCTCTTCTGCAATTGGTATCATTATTAACATAGTTTCTCATAGCAAGTGTAATATTTTTACTTGAAGTGCATCGTTTGTACTTTAACAGAACCGCATGACTTAATTGTGTTGACCCCCTTCCAATCCGTCCTGTTTCTTGCAGGAAGTCATCCAAATCTGCCGCATGTCCAAGATGCAAATCCAAAAATGCATCTTTTATGTTTACACCCATCCCAAATGCAATGGAACAGAATGGAACTCGAATCGTCCCATTAGATTTGCAGAACTCTTTTTCCACGGTTTCCTTTACAATTTTGTGGGTTTTCTTATGATACATTGCAAACAAACGACTTCGGTCATCCATAGGTTCATTTCCATTAGGCATATAATAGGCTTTCTTGCTCAAATGATGACTAAATAATTCGTATAGATCTTTCATATGTTGCTTTCTGCGACAGAATACAATAACTTTTGGAGTGTTGACACTCTTGTTTAAAAGCTCGTCAATTAACCAAGAAAATGATGTGTACAAATTATCTATATCAACTGTTACCACAGCATACCGAATATTGTCTCTGTTGGGGTTAGCCAAAACTTGAATACATCCTTGCATGCACAAATTTTGAATGATTTGTTCCTTAACAATAGTTGTTGCAGTCGCAGTCAAGGTCACAAAGGGTACTTCCTTCCTGATAAGGGATCTCAATTCACCAAGTCGGCCATAGTCTGTCCTAAAAGGTTCATCCTTACCTTGACATTTTCCCCTAAAAATGATAAACAAATTACATTACAAATATTAATTGTCAGACAGAGTGCTATTGCACTGATCATGAAGAGTAAAAATCATCAAGTCAAATTGTCTGGCATTTGTAGGCAGATTATTAAAAATACTAAATACGGCACATTTCCAGTACAAGAGACATTATATGTTCTATGTATATATACTTTTCAATCTCTCTAGTCTCAACTTGAAGTGTTTCTTACCATTTTTCAATGCAATGACTTTCGTCAATAAATACAGCTCCCAAAACGTTCCTTAAATATCCTCTGAAAATTGTTCTGTAGCTGTTCAGTAGAGCTTCTGGACTACCAAATATTAAGTTATACTTTCCAGATTTTATGTCTTCAATATCAGATGAAGTGCTTTCTGGTCCAATACAAATAGCAGATACTCCTTTACTTCTCAACGAAGATATTTGGTCTTTCATCAGAGAGACTAACGGCGCAACAACTATGCAAACCGTTTTCGGTGCAGTCTGTTCCTCAACAGCAGTTAAACCATATTGCATGCACTCAAGTGCATAGGGTGCTATCTCAAAGCACAAACTCTTCCCAGAACCCGTAGGGAGGCAAACAAACACATCTTTTCCAATAAGATAGGCTTCTACAACTTTCTGTTGAACTTCTCTTAACGATTGATAACCCAGTTTTTTGCTACCATAACTTATAGCTTCTTTTACTTTTGAATTTATATCCATTTTATTTTTTAGCTAGAGATTTTTACAGTGATTTTCGACGATTCGCGTCTGTTTGTATTAAATATAAATTTTACAAAATGGCGTCGTTAGTACAGAATAATAATGAGCATTCACTGACGTCACCGGAGCAAAAATGCACCGGTGAATTTGGCGCGCTTGCGGGTGACAAAAGTCCGTAGCTTCCAGGAACCACGAACCGCGGACTTTGGAAAGTCTAGGTTTGTGATAAACTGATGAGTGAATGACACCAAAAACCCTGGCCAAAACACACTTTACTAATTTTAATCCGATTACAGTTCGAGGTGATAACAAAGAGCGGAAAAACCCCGCCAAATCTAATATCGTCTTTTACGGAGATTGAAATATTCTCAGATTCTCCCCACAAAAATAGTTTAGAAACGCGCACGTTTTATCCGATAGCCTCCAAACTTTGCCACAATGTTGAACAATAGTACAGGAGCAAAACTGTGTTCGCGTTTTTTATTTAGTGCCATACTTTTCAAGTTATAGGCATCTGTTCTGCCGTTCTCCCAAAATTTAGATGAGTCAACTTCTCTGCTTTGTATCAAAGCAAATATAATACCTGTCAAAAAACGCGAACATGGTTTTGTTCTTTGATCATTTGATATGGGAAATATTATGTTTCGGAAGCCTCTGAGTTAAATCAGAAGCGTTCTAATCTCGTAGAGCAAAGGCCGTCATATTTTCAAAAGCGACCCGTAGCAAGTACAGTTTTTAAAGATGTAGAATTTTGGCAAATCGTTAGCTACAGCAATGATTTTTCATTATGCATGCAAAATTTGAAGGGAAAAACTTGAAAATTGAGCGCGCGGTGAGCATTTTGGTGAAATGGGTTTCCATCATGTGGAGTAATCTTAACCATATAAAATTGACTGCGTATCCACGTATCCGCGTATCCACTAAAATATATAGCTACCTGTAACATGAGAATTTGATCTATCAATCTATTTATTATTAATCTAATAAGAATAAATATATATTAACAAGTTCTGACCGCGTATCCGCGTATCCAGTGAAATAGTGGCTACATGACATGATATAACTAGTGGACGGGTATTCTGCAATTTAGCCTTGCTTTCTAACGTGATGTCCTTGGGCCTTGGCACCGATCGAAAATTGACGAAGTCCGGCATTATGTTACACATGCAAATTTAGATGTTTGTCTACATATATTCACAATAATGTAGTCTAGATTAGCGGATTTAATTTGGTTCGACTTGATAGGAAAACAAGAATACATTGGCGGTGTGTGTACATATATCAAAGATTCAATTCAAGTTATATTAGACGACTATAAAATTGACCCTCTATATGAATCCCAAGGGGTATTAGGCATTAGCAGTATTGTCATAGGAACAGTATACCATCCTCCGAATGCAAATAATTCTGCTATGTCGACTTACCTTTAAATATGGACTGTCTCTCATTTCTAGCGTCTCAACACCCAAATTAAGCGGGATTCTTTTGCTTGGGGATTTTAATGGCCTAAATGTTGCACACTTAAAATCCAGTTTTAAACTAAGTCAGATCGTTAAGTTTCTGAGCAGAGGCCAAAACACCAAGGATCCTTACCAATCTGCAAGATTTTTACAATAATCCAGATAAGCGCTCACCTTTCGGTTTATCGGACCACGTGCACTTGTCTATTGAACTTTTACCGAAATCACGTGCTCAAATTCCAAAGCAGCGAGAGATAGTTAAATCGAGAAATCTGCGTCCCAGTAGTCGCTGAGCCATAAGGTTATACCTACACGCGTAAAAATTGAGAAAATCAACAACTTGTTCCAAGTTGATATCGACAGGCGTGAACAATGTTGTGCGGCCAACTATGAACAGTATTGTCAACATGTTGTTACAGCATTGTTCAACTGTAACAACTTGGTTCATAGTTGGCCGCACAACATTGTTCACGCCTGTCGATATCATCTTGGAACAACCTGTGCGTTTTTAGCAGTGTAGAAAAAGTCGACGTGCCAGCCTTACTTGATAATGTGATTATGTGAACACATGCGCACAGGGAAGACTAATCTCCTTGAGATAATTGTCAAGACTGGTTTGGACCTTAAGCCTGTTTTCCACTTCAACCGCATCGTAACGTATCGTAGCATTTTCTTTCGTGTCGAAGGTATTAGTTCCACTCTAGCGCTCAGGAAACAAAGAAATACGCTACGATTCGGTACGATACGATTGAAGTGGAAAACTGGCTTTATACTCCCATTGCGATCGAAAACTGTTTATCTAACGATCACCTCCGTGGTTTAGCCCAACCTTGAAAAACCTCATAAAAATACGCCAAAGAGCCCTCACCAAGGGAGTTCGTCGGAATTCCATATTCTTAGGAACCGCGTAAATCGTGAAAGAAAGATCTGTCGAGCAAGATATTGTGAAGCTAAGGTCGCCTATCTGAAGGATTGTAAGCTATCGTCGTGCTGGAAGGAGATAAAGAAACTGAGTGGTATGTCACCAGTCTTAATATCTTAAGAGTCTCTACAACACATAGATGGAGCATCAAATGCGAAAGACCTTGCCAACGTCATCAATGACTCCTTTATCCAACCAATGAGAGTCTACTCGCCACTCCCAGCTAATTTCCAACTTGAGCGGGATACTCCTCCTTAACCTCCTCTTGTTGTCTCTCAACATTCCGCCAATGTTGAATTCCACCAAAGCTGAAGGTCCAGATGGTATACCAGCGTGGCTGCTTAAAGGGAATGCAGATTTACTTGCGAAACTAATCACAGATATCCTAAATTGCTCCTACCGGGAAGGTAAATTACCAATGTCATGGAAGAATGTAGCCTCCTGCGCAGACGTTGTTAGGGGCCGATTACATGGAGCATTTTCAACCCCGGAGTTCAACTCAGCCCTGTTTACCGGGTTGAAATTTCAGCCCTGTCTGTAATACAAAACTCTATCAAAATCAAACGCGCGATTACATGACAAAATTTTTAACCCAGGGCTGAGTTCAACCCCGGGGTTGAAATTTCAACCCTGCTTCAGCTAGCAGGGTAGAAACTTCAACCCCGGGGTTGAACTCAGCCCCAGGTTATTCGAGCATACGTGGGAGTGACTATTTATTACAACAAAATAAAATAAAGGCTTTTTTACTTCTGGGAATCGATGCCGAGAACGTATAGTATAGTGTCTCATCTCTGGGGTTGAAATCGTCCATGTAATCGCAAAAAATTTCAACCTGGTTAACAGGGCTGAGTTCAATCCCGGGGTTGAAAGTTCTCCATGTAATCGGCCCCTTAGTGGCCGAGGCCCCACCTAACGTCTGCTCACATTCGCTATACATTTGACTTGCCGGCAATTAACCAATCACAATCATCTACACGATAATTGGAAAATCGACCTTCAATGACTTTCACCTACATGGGCTATTAGGCCAAGTAAAAAAAATAGTAGTTTCTCGTCCGAATTTTGAAAAAAAAGGAGAATGCGGGCGCTTGTTTTTTGTTAAACCTTCAAATATTGCTCTTAAAGTTTACCAAATAACCTATAAACACACGCAAATATTGAAGTTTACTCATAAAACGTAAATATATTAAAATAGACAAACAGCTACTAATGCAATATGGCGCCAAAATACCGAACAGCAAGCGAGAGTTGACGAAAATTTCCAAACGGCAACCGAACTATGCCGAAAGGAGCAAAATTGCCGAAATATACTATATATATACTATTTATATAAAGTGGAAATTCTTTGCAAGGCTCGAATATAAAACATTTAAAAAAATAGAAAAATCCATGCGGCAGGGGAAAAGGATGCGGGCGGGGACGAGAAACCACTATTTTTTTTTACTTGGCCTTATCAACAAGTCTGTAATCTTTTTACTATTTTTAAATTTGAAAGTTTTAACACTGCGCATCAGAAAAAGGCTTTTCATTCTATTATAAACGAAAAGAAGGATGTTTTTCGTAAATCTCACAACTGACGCAGGAAATCACTTATTTATCACGCCGTTACCGAAGCTATTCGATGTAATATTGGATTTAAATATTTAAACAAATTGTAAACATTGTCATTGTAAACATTTAGTAATCGTGGTTTCGCCATTGATAAATTCAATACGAGATCAAGTCAAAAAACTACACGATCTAGGAGTCAGTGCTGTGTCATTATTAAGTTGAATCGAGAGCGATGAAGAAGCGAAGGCATTGGAACATTGAGGGAAATATTCTGACTGTATTATATGGCACAGCAGAGTCATTGTTGAAGACAAAATATATAGCAGAACGGTTTGTGCTTTGGCTATTGATGCATGAAGCTCATGTCAGTATGTATTATAATAAATCCTTAACATGTGTTCGCATCTGTAATTCTCAAAGCCACAGGAATCGATCGGCTTTGACCTTTCTATTAAATAGTCGTTATTTTATATTGTCTTGAATTTTTCTTTTTAAACGTTGCCTCGTATTATCTATTGCATATAGTGCTAACAAGTTTGTGAATTATGAGCCATTCTAGTTCATATACAAGTAGTGTACGGCCTTGTTAGATCTACAATCCTGTGCAAAAATTTTTGGAAAATGCATTTATCCGGAGTTTCTCAGTGATATATGAACTGTTCTTCCCCCCTTCCCCCATATCAATGTTAAAAATTGTTATTTTTGTGTTGCACAAGGTAGTGCTGCCAAGATATTCAACATTGCTAATGGGGGG